CTTATGCCATGAGTCTGGGTGTGTGGGTGGGTGGGGGAAACAATTGTCGAAAAAAAATAATACTAACAATCTTATCACAGTTTACTGTAAATACACAATGATGTTTTAATTATTTCTAGCTGCCTGGCATTGTTGGCAGTCTGTATTCTTTTTTTTTTTTTTTTTTTGCTTGTTTGTTAGTTTTCCTAGTTGTAACTATGTGGAAAAGGTAATACTAGCAATTTTTTTTTCTATTGTATACTATCTTTGTGTGAATTAATCACCTCCTTAGTATTCTTACCTTACTCACAATCCTGGTAATTTAATATGGTGTGTGTACGATCTGTCTTCATGACTCAACACCAGATTTGATTTGTTCTAGGTAATAATCTTACTTCCTGAATGTGTTTCCACAGGCCTTACACAAAGCTGCAATAGTTTTTCAGTTTCTTTTTTGACTCAAACAATTATTTTGTCCCCAGTGCTTTGTTGAAGCTTTTTTGTAATTATTCAAGACAGTGTGTGTTACTTCCCACAACTGCTAAATGTATTTCAAACCACTTATTCCTAGGAATTCATTGTGTTAATCTTTTTCCCATGGTTTCTATTGACTAAAGCCATAGTATTTTCCATTATGATAAAAATAGTTTAAACTCTTATGCTTTACACATATTTTATCTTTGTTGGATATTCAACAAAACACTTCACAGTAACAAAGAAAACAATTTTTGTCATGAAGCCTACAGTCTGGCTCTGCCTTACTTCCCCATTACATGATTCCTAACAGAAACACTCCAAAACAATCAAGTCAATATTACTTCCTGAATTCTGCTAGTTTCCAAGGCATCTGCACGTTGAATTAGTTGCTAATGCCAAGTTACCACTTCAGACTAAGGTGTGAATTAGGGGGTGTGTAATAATTAACTGGTGTGAGATGAGAAACACTTTGTATATAATAGCATATAGAATACCACAGTTTATTTTTTCTTTCCTATGTACTTTGTTATATCATGTGTCATATCACTGTGTTTCTGATCTGACAAATTGCAAGCTTCTTCATTTTCTAGTCTATATAATCAACAAAAATCATTTTACAGTTATAATAATCATAAATTAGCATAAAATGTCAAATTTATATTTATATGTAAATACTCACTCATCTACTAAGAAACAATTTCTAGTATAAACATCAGAGACATAATATTGTTCTAATATATATATATATACATATTAAATTTTAATATTTTCTCTGGTCTCTATAGCTGAGCGAGTTGGTTTCCATAGCAACAGTCTGTTATGTGTATAAAGTATGTCCACATTCCAGCTGTCTCAGTTAATCTGTGCAGCTATACACTTTATCTGATGTTATCACATCAAGTATTTAGAGACGGCTCATTACTGTAGTCCCAAAACATTCCGTTATATTCATCAGTCATGCTAATTGTGGTTTTGTTTGATTAAAAATATATAAGGTATATGCAATGATTCACAACGTAAATACTTGGCAGATGATCATGACACATGAAGAAGAGACACTATCAATGGATATAAAACACAATGTCTAATAGCAGGAGATGTAAAGCTGTATCAGTACCTCTTAAAGTGTCTATTTACTTAGCAAACACACAGTTAAAACAATATGACAAATACAAAATCTGATATAAAATTCACTTGAAACAAGAGCTTCACAGACTGCAAAGAATTCTCCAGCTTATTAGCTACACATACACATACACATTAAGATCTCTATGAAGTGTAACCATCCTATGCCATCAAAAAGTATGTAGCTTTCAGGTAAGTTACCCAAGCAGTGATAAAGAAAAGAATTCACACTGAGTATATATATATACTAGTATATTACTGACTCTAGAAAAAGCTACTTTAGACTCTCAACAGTTTTATCAATTAGAAAGAAATGCAGGTACATCTTAATCCATGTTTTATTGCGTGTGTAAAATTGACACAATAAATAAATAAATAAATAAATAAATACAGTCTTAACTTACCTCAGAGTTACAACTATTCCTAGAGACCAAATCTCTCCACACAGTCACAGTCACCAATACAGGTAATCCAGGTAAATCCAGGTATCACAGGTATATAACCTAGAACACAGGTGTAAGTAGATAAGGTCAGGTGCATTATATGCATGTTTAATAATCCTCTTTGACAGTGGTAAGCTCATTATAATAATCCCATATAACATGAAAGTAAATATAAAATTGAAAGCCTGTATTGTATTAAATATTACCCTCAGGAGGACATGAATTTTATGGCTCTTGGTGTTCTGTTGAATGCGCTAAAAATAAAAAGGTCTCAGCAAAAAAAAAAAAAAAAAAATCAAGAAGATGAAATTCATTTATGCATTAAAAAAAGTCAATTTTTTTTAAGAAAAAAAAAACCTTCCCTCCCTTCTTAAAAATAACTAGGTTACATGTCATTTTTCAAAATTGGATTAACTAAGCAGATAATAAATTAAGAGAGAAAAAATATCCATTTATTCAGAAAAAGCCCTCTCCCTACTTAATAATTGCCAGATACAAGTCTTGCTGCCATGTAGATCCTCGAGTTGGATCAACTAAGAGAGTAAAAAGGTCCCAGGAGTTATTCAGACCCCCCCCCTCCCTCCTT